AATTACCTTGTTCGAACTTTTCAGATACTTTCTTTAAGTACACATTTCTTCTAATCGACCACCTCAATGATTTTTCTCTATGTTCTGCATTGTTTCCTAGTACATTAATAGCTGCTACTTTTGCTCTTATATTTTCTTCTTCTTTACATCTATCTTTACTTGGTACTTAGATGCTTTTTTCCAGTGAGGAGTCTGATTCTATAGGTATCAGATCCTTTTCTGATTCTTCTGCAGTATCCGAGTACTGATTTTGACTTAAAGAATCGATCATAAGTAAAATAAGTTTCTCTATAATAATCTAGATATACAGTACTATACCTTAAATTTTGTCAAATTTTATTTCATTATAAAGTTTAATTGGCTTATAAATGAAAACTTACTAATTTTTTTTATTATAATTGATGATGAAACAGAAAATCATTCTATAAAATGATAATATATAACTATTTATTATCCTTTAAAGTTCTTACAACAAGTTTTTCAAAGAGCTATAAGTAAAGATTCTGAATTTTCATTTTCATTCTCTATATTATCTAAATTCTCACTAATATCTTCTTCATCTACAGCATTTGAATCACTATTAACATATTTATCTAAACTATTATTATTATTTTCATAGCTCCATTCTTCTATCAAATTTGCTACTAAATCCGTAGGATCAAAATCATATATACCTTGCCCTATTTTATTACTAATTAATAACTCATTATTATTAGATTCTTCAGTATCACCAATTCATGATTCCTCACTATTGGCATCAGATTCACCATCTTGGAACATTTTATCATTTAAGAATACTATATTTTCAATGTCAAAACGTTCAATAATTTCTAAATTATAATCAGCCTCTTCTATTTCAGAATCTTCAATAATGTCTTCACTATCGTCTTCGACTAAAAAAGTTGCAGATCTTACTTGGTCTTGTAAATCATTATATGATAATATTCTATCAAAAAAAACAAGTTCTTTTTTTATATTTGATATATAGTAGGATCTGACTTGAGTCATGGCTTGGATTCAGAATAGAGAAAGTTGTTGTCATAATTTTCTATATAACCAATCTAATGATGAAAAGGTTCTTTCACAATTAGCAGAATGTAGTGTGATTGAGAAGAGTTTAATTGCAAGTAGTCTAATAGATTTAGAACTAATATAATTTGTCATCTACTATAATAAAGGAGTATCAGTTTCAAAACAATAAAGTAAGTCAAATCCATTTTTTTTTTATGAAATAATTGCATATAAGCTACAAGATTTGTACATTCATATTGGTCATATCTTTCATTTTGTCATATTTTAATTGTAGTTTTTGCAATTAAATGAAATTGTTTTTCAAGTAATCCAGTACCTAGTAAAGAATTATATTAGCTAATTAATCTATTTTAATTACTATATTAACAATTATAATATACCTCAATAACCCAGATGAAGGAAGTATGTTAACAAGTAATTATTAGCATTAAAATTTTGCTATCTTTTATTATAAATTTGTATATAGTAATTTTTAAAACTATTAACTTGTAAATTTGAAACTTTTTTAATAGTAGCTGCAAATTGAATGAATTGTATAAAGCAGTCTGCTAAGGTCGTTAAATGAGCTTTCAAAATTTCAATTGCAGTTTGTATAGGAGATAAAATCTTGACTAAAATTTTTAGATTTGCAAAAAAATATGGTTGCTTTAAAATTTGTTTCACATTTCTATTTGTAATTAATTCTGAATTATTATTTATAATCAATATACAGTATTAATAAAGTATAAAATAGAAACAGTAAATAGTAGATTAATAATAACAAATTTTATAAGATTTAATCTTTTTTTAAATTTTTTTTTAATTTAGTTTAATTAATAAAAATATTTTTCTTAATAAATGTATGTTCAAGTTGACTAACAGATAAAGTATACTCATAAGCTGAAGTCTATTTTGTGTCTACAAATTTCTTTAGACTACTACTAGAAATTTTTAACTTATAAATTGTTTGGCATAGATATGAACCTAGCTGATGAGATTTTTTAAAATATTTTATAATTTCATTGCATTCTTTAATAAGATGTGAAGCAAATATATGCTCTAAATATATATATATACTATATATTAATAGTTAATAATATATAATTAATTAAGTATTAGTCATACAACTCTCTCCATTGATCACTTCGACCAAATTTAGAGCAGAAGGAAAAAACAAGAAAACTCAAAATTTCTACTAAGAATGAACACAAAAGC